TGAGGTTCACGTCAAATCATGGCTGAGTAATTCCTGAATCTCCCCTTCCGTTCGGGCATTTTGGCACGTGACTGGAGCTGAATTTTTTTCATGAGATGAAAAACTATATGTAAACTTCCTGTATTGACCAGACTCATTATAATTTAGGGCGTGCTGATTTTTCTATATAGTGCATTTTAGTGGGGAGTGATTAGATCCTGGACATGATTTTCAAGCACCTGCTCGACTTCGACCGAAAGAAACTTGCGTGCCTTGCTGCATGGCTATATATTTTTTTGGTACTAAAATGTTTATAAAGAATTGTTTTAAAAGATCTGAAAAGGAGACTTCTCTTTTTTTTCTTATTAATATCACCTACTCAAAGTTGCGCATTTTTGGTAAGAATATATGGCAAAATTTAATACTGTTTTGCAACCTATATACACAAGACAACAAGTAAAGTTTTGGTACCCACGAGGTTAGCATCAGGAATACAGTAGAAAACAAAACTAACAAATTCCGGAAAGCATAATTCCGGACTACAATGCACACCTCGCTACTTGTAAGTGGTATAAGTGGGAAAATACTATTAAATGAATTTGATTTTTTATTGTTAACATTAAAATACAAAATATTACAAGATTCTATAAAATACACTGTATCTAGCCGGTGAAAGAAATATAAAATACATTGTAAAAAAAAAAAATGAAAAAAAAAGACATCGGACTAATGTTGGCCCACCCTTGTTTATCTTACTTTTGTATTTAGACAGTCAAAAAAAGCAGTCTATAATCTCTCTCTCTCTCTCTCTCTCTCTCTCTCTCTCTCTCTCTATATATATATATATATATATATATATGTCACAAAAAAGTGCATCGTATATAATTCAGACGCTGTGCCAATACAAAACGGACGATTACGCAATATTGTTCCTTAGACTAACGTCGGGCCAATCTAAAAGTTCACTTTACGCCACTTTATCCGAGAGGGCCAAAATCGGTCCTACATTATTAACCCAAAGACCTAAATTCATAAAATCAAGGACAGAATATAATCCACGAACTTAAAAAAAAAATATTTCAATAAGTGTAAAGCAACATATTAGTATCACTGACACAAATGCTGGACTGAACAAACTTTTTTACGCCTTATCATTTACTCAGCAATGGGCCAACGTTGGTCCAATTATGATGCAATATCATGCACTGAACAATGGGCCAACGTAGGCCCAACGATACAAAACCAATAACTATTTTGGTAATGCCGAACAATGGGCCAACATTGGACAAGCTACTGTAAATCAGCAACTGTTTGTACAACTCTTAAACTATTCAATTTAACTCTTTACAACTTACTGAACTGTGACGCAACATACACTTAATGTTCACGTCATAGAAATATGACGTTACCTTTTCCCCGCAAGCACTTTATAGCGAGGTACAAGTTTCTCTAAAGTTTAGTGTAAATAATTATGACGTAATATTTTAATAAGATTATAACTTTTCTTATTTTATGAGATAATACCAAGTACAAATTAGAAGGGAATTGTCATTAAATTGAAGATTAAATTTACTTCTGGAAGTGCGTGAAAAATGCGTGATTGCGGGGAAACGGTATATGCGTGATTTTGCGTTAGAAATAGGAAATGGTATATGCGTTAAAATTCGTGACTGCGGGGAAGAGGGTTAAGGTCAACGTAAATACGATATGCGCAAGTACATTGCTTTTTTAATTACACCATAAATATAGAAATACTGTGCAATGGGCCAACATTTTACCCAACCATACATGACCAGTTATATTTTATTTTTATACTTAAATGACAAAAAGACAACTGGGTCAACGTTAGCCGAAACACATGAGACCAATGTATCCCGATATTAGCAATAACAACTAACATGCCAATTGGTTACTAACGTTGGGTCAATATATGCATGCTGACTGGGTAACGCATCTGCTCTAGAGTTGCCGAGTAAGGAGCTTATCCTTACGTCGCGGGTTCGAATCCACTACAGGATTTCGAGAACGGTCTTTCGGATGAGACCGTATAAACCGAGGTCCCTTGTTGCAGTATGTGTTGGAACGAAAAAAATCCCTCGCTGCTCAATGGCTCTGAATGTCGAGTAAAGGTATAGGTTTAAAGCCCTCCATTGGCAAATTGTGGAGTCTCCATATGAGTAAACAATTCTCAAGAGGGGCGTTAAACAACAACAACAACAAGAACAAAAACAAAAAACAAACAAACAAACAAACAAACCAAAAAAAAGAAAAAAAAACACATTGCCTTTAGATTTGTATACTCTTTTTGTTTCTTTTCTTTTCTCCAAAATGTTACAAGAACTCATCGCTTTTTTTCCAATCACAAAATTGTATCAAGGTACCTTTTTTGTTTTGTTTATTTTGTGTTTTATTTTTTAATTATAAAAGGAATTTAAAATTGAGGTAGGGGTTAAAAGAAATGTAATCCCTTTAAAACAATTGACCCTTCATTTAAAGCTGAAATAAAATTATGCGCCCTCTCCCTGAATAAAAAAAAATGTAAAACAAATAATTGAAAAGATTCATGATAGGTTGAAATTCTCTAAGCACTTATGTATATTATTTTGAAGCCTCAATAAATGATCACTAGAGGAAATACATTTTAAAAAGTTTGTTTTTATTTTTATATCTGAAGAAAAGGGATTCCGGGGCATCATGTGCGACCAAGATTATTTTAAATAATGTACCAATATGCGTCCTTGATGTGCAAGGCAAATGAATTAACACAGTAATCAAATTTCCTCTCCATACGGCGCGCTTTAACAATTAAACAGATAACAGTAACAAAATATATATTCAAAATATCAAGTTGATTTTTCTTAATTTTATTCGTTTAAAATTTCATAAACTATAGTTTTTAGCCGATAAATATAGTTTGATCGAATTATAACAACGTAAATCTGGGCAATATTGAGTCTATGTGACAGACTACAATTTCAACAAGCTTCAAAATCAGCTGGCCCTAACTGTCTCAGGCATTGATTGCTTGCGCTCTTGGACGTTGGAAACGTTTTCATACTGAAATATGCAAGTTTAAGTTCATTATTCGACAAATAATGTAGGTTCTGCATTATTGTCAGGACATTTTATATCATTTTTGAGTATTTGTCTACCATGTGCATGAAAAGAAAAGTTAAATAAACGCAGGTATGTTAAGGCAGTACCCAGATCAAATTTCAGCGAATTTAGACTTTTTTCGTAAAATGTAACATTGATAAATCGGAAATGCCATAGATAAAACATTTACTATAATTATCCATTGTATAGACGTCATTGAGGTTTATGCTAAAAGAAGCACTCCACTACGACGTCATCACGTGACGTCTATAAATAGAAAAATTGCCTTAAAGAAAAATGAAAAAGTTCAACACTACCCCGGGGATAGTTCAATTCTTTTTGTGAAAATAATTATGTAAAAACATCACTGGGTCATGAAAAGTGCTGCTAGAATCGTACTCTCCCGACACAGAAAAAAAACATTCCAAAGTTTCTGATGAAACCTTACCAAAATTATTACATTTTGTACAAACGATCAAGGAATTGTCATCAATTCATGTTAATCACATGATTCTAGCAGCACTTTCCAAGTACTATAGAATACAAGCTTTCGATACAAACAAAAATTATGTCTCAAAGTATGCGGCGTAGTGTTGAACTTTTGCAACTTTGTTGTTATATAACGACAGAGGAAAGGCTGATCGGGATTTTAAAGCACTGCCTGTGTTCATTATAAGAAAACATCATTTAAATATATCAGCGTACCTGATTCTTAATCTTTAATTCCTAATGAATCACACATAACATTCACGGTATATGCTTTAAAACTCCCGTTTTACATATTTGTTTACATGAATTCTCGTCCCGTTTAATTTTCACTGGGCAAATTTTGATCAATAGTTATGACGTCATGGGTTTGGTATTTTACCCCCGTGATAAATACTTAGCTGTTTATACCACCCAAAAACGACATTATTTTGTTTATTTTATGTTTTTGAATGATTCCATTCATTTCTAGGACCTAAAATTAAACTTTAAATATAGATATTAAGAAATCATTATTTCTAAACTTCACGTCATACAGCTTACTATGACGTCATATTGTAGAGGCAAGTAGTATATCTCTGGGTGTAGCCTTAACATACCCGTGAAGCACCTTTAATGCATTTCATATCCCTAATCGACACATCTAGTACAGCATAATACCTATACATAATTATTTATTAATATTATAAAAAAAAATTAAATCAATTTGAACTTAATACAGAAAAAAAAGATTTCCTATTATTACATTTTGTTTTATGACATACTGGCGTTGTCCTCAACGCGAAAATTAAATACCTCGAATGTATTAATCAAAAAGTGCATTATAACATACTGCGTTAAACTCGACGCAATATGAATTGACGCAAAATGTAATAATCCTTAATTTGTGTTTTTACATTTTGCGTTAAACACGACGCAAAATCTAATAATGCAAAATATAATAATCTCCAAAAGTCTAGATTTTATTCTGTGTTGATCTCGACGCAAAATATGATAACGCAAAATGCAATAATCCCAGTTAATTACATTTCGTGTTGTAACACCCAAACCTCTTTAATCTATGTAAATTATGACGTTGGCACGAAAGTTTATTGTAGAAGGAGCACGTTGCATAATCACACAGTATGATAGTGCTCAAATTGAGGCGTATAGTCTACAAAATTAAATCAGTTTAAGCTGATATTAAATTGAATATCATTCATTAAAATAGCGTCCAATTTTACTCTTCTTTGTGTAATATTTTACTGTTAACTATTTGCTACAAAATATAAAGACAAACTAATTAGAATTATCTTTTTGTATAATTTTTATTATTTTTTCCACATTTCTTTCTTATTCCTCAGCTAACATAACTAACAAACTAAAATGAAAAGAATTACAAATAAAAATTAAAGAATATTAATTGTCAGAAAAGCACATTTTTTTTGGTTTGAAGTTGTCTATTGACTACTTTTAGATGCATACTCTATAGAACGGTTGATCATATCTAACAAACTTTTCAGAGCTTCATTCGTATGCGTTTCGTTAGATAATGGATCACAGGCTGGCATTATCAAACGAAGCGGTAGTCCAAATTCATCACAAGCTTGAACCCTGAATCTGAAAACGTCTTGAAACGTCATTTCAGAAAAATTTTTGGTCCAGAGAAGTAGAACCTTTGGTTTTTCTGTAAATGTAAAATTCTTATAGAAGTATACAATTCTAATATTAATAGGGATAGCATTTCATATTCTGGTTATGTAGTAAATGATACAAAAAAGATAATCAAGATTTGTTAATATACATTTAATCAAATTTATACCAGTAGAGTGAAATACTATATTATACATATCGATGTCTTTAAAAAGACCCTAATTGATATTGCGGTACTAAACAGAGAAAATGGTTAGAGTAAGAACCTCATCCTTTGCCATTAAAAATGTTTCCAGATAATTTTTTTTGGCTTCCCCAATGAAGTTTTTCTATCAAAACTCCCAGTGAAAAAAAGGCTCTATTGCTTTTAAAGTCAAAAGGTCAAGGTGAAAAAAATCCTATCTTGCACTTTACTGACCTGGTGAAAACATTAAACTCCTTTTTGAGTTTCAAAAATGGATTTTAAACATTAAATCAGTTTAACTTATGCAAACCTTTAGTTTTTCCCCTAGATTTCTAATTTTAATACAAATCCAGAGTAAGCTATCGAAAAACTGCAGAGATACTGGTGGATCAAAATAAATACTAAAATCAATCATCAAAATGAAAGCTATGAGTTGATTGTCATATCAATATACCTTGATTTAGTACGCTATTTTTAATTTTTTCGTTATCAATCTCATCATAACCATATAGGGTTTCCTCACAGGCATCAAGTGCATAAACAACACAATGTATTTTTCTATCCAGTTCTGATAAACTTCTACGGCCTGTTGAAGCTTCATTCTACAAACAAAATGTTGAATAAAAAATATTAAAAACAATAATTCATGTAAGTGTTGTCAATGCGCGGATTTCAATAACTATGAAAGAGAGTACAAGATAGGAAAAAAAAAAACAACTTTCATTAAATAAATATTTACCTCCAAAGATTTCGCTACGTGCAACTCAATTTATTTTTTTTTAACACCAAAACCGTTTTCAAGCTTTGAAAGTTTTCAAATTAATTCTGTTTCATATGAATTCAAAAATAGTTCTGCTAATAATGGGATGTGATTAGTGTCCATGGAAAGTACAACAGATTGTTGGAAGACTTGATCTCCAAATACTACAAAGACTAATGTCATTCAGAAACTCAAGCATCCTTTTCTTTCTTGTACTATCACTGGCATTAAAACAATACACTTAAAAATAGACAAATGACATATAAGTTATTACCTTTCAGTCCATATCAAAAGATTATAATTTAGAAGTTTACCGCACATGTGCTGCTATCCACAATAGAGTCCATGGTTTGTATATTTTCTGATTCAAGGATACGTATTTGAATTGGTCTCCCGGATTTTGTTTTTGATGAAATCACAGTAAGCTATATGTATAAAAAACAATTAACAGCGTTATCGTTATAATGCTAAATTGTAGATTTTCAGTTTAATATTTAATGTAAGAGAGAGGGTTCGTTTAGTAAAGATTTAAAAAAAAAAATGTATTCTTTCTTTTGGCGTGAAGCTAAATTTTAGAAGCACAAACGATAAAAGTTGATATACATCATTTATAATTTTGTTGTTTTACGATTTTATCGAAGTTGGGACATTACTTTTTGATCAACAGTGAGATAAAACATTACTTGAAAATATATCTCAAAGAAAGTCGATCACGATGTTAGAAATGAAAATGTGTTTGCTCACTTGCAAAAAATTATAAAAAGAGTAGTTTGTAACAAAACAAACGTGATAAAAACATTTTTAAAAAAGAAAAATAATAAAAAATAACAATTGGAGGAGGGATTATTCTTATATTGTTGGTTTTTAGAATGGAAAAATCACAGATTCAAGAAAACAATATCAGTTGGTGAGGGTTTTTGAAATTATACTTATTGTGATCGTTTATTTTAAGGTGCAGGGTCAGGTCAAGGTTTTTGTATATTCTTTTATATTATGAAGAAAGAAATGTTGCTGTCAACTGAGATTAAGAAATAAACTAGATAATTGCTAATCCCAATTTCCTCTATTTTTTAAATTTTTTTTAGATATCCTCTTTTAGGACACAAGTTATTAAATTCTTCGTATATTATTTAAACGCATGTACAAAAAGCTTTCAAAGACTAGTAAAAATGTCATTAATGTTAAGAAGATCATACAGCCTGCGTCTTTTATTTTAATATTGTAAAATTTATTTGCATAATTACTTTTTTCATTCACTTAAAAAAAAATTCTTTTGGCTTTTAATTGTTTTAACATGCAAATTTAATTAATTGCTCTGTAATCATTTTGAGAAACAGAAAGGAAGATATTTTTATATACCACTGTTTTGCCAAAAATAGCTTTAAAAAAACAGTAGGCATTTCTCCGTTTAAAATTGTACAATTCTGAGATAGAAGGGACAAAAAAAGACCTTTAAAATTCTTAAAACCTACATTAAAGCATGTTTAAGCCAATATACCTAGAATTCTTCATTTACAATGAATTCCCTCCTGTTGTAATATACAAGTTAAATGGATAAGTTAACTGAATAGATTTCACTTTAAACTTTCAATCTAACTTTCACAATAATAAGGTAAAAAGTTGCATAAATTTATAATGGTGATTTCAGATAGGTTAAATATTGAGTTCATACAAATATAAAAATATCTTTATGATTTATAATTTTTGTATTTGCATGTTCACAAAAACATAGCTCAAAAATTATATGTAGCAATCAAGATATCCGATTTTAGTATATCCTGTTCTTGTATAATACTTCTTAAAAATCAAATCAAACTCGGCTTATCTAATCTGTGTTTGTTAGATGTGGAAATGACTTACTGGTGTAGTTGAATTGGATGAGGTGGTCATAAGAGCAGCTCTCGTTTGTATTGCTGTCCGAGATTTCAGTGCCTCTGTGCACATGTTCACAAAAGTAAAATCTCCTTGGAGAGGAGCTCCCATGATTGCAATGTTGATATAATTAAGTGAATCAGGCAGATCCGGTAATTCTGTTATTTTTGCAATAACATCTTCCTCTTGCTGTGAGAAAATAAAATAAAAATTATTTGTGACTTTTTCCTCATTTTTATCATTGTGTTTATAAAGGTCTATTTGAATTATTACTTCTTTCAATGAAAATGTATCCTATGCATTAGCATTTAACAATTCTGTACCGGTGTAAGGCCATGGAAGAGTAAATACCTCTATTGTTAAGCAATGTTCAATCTGGAAGCAGTTTTTTCCAACATTGGATGTTCCTTTTTCTGTCAAAAAGGTGGATAAATATATGTAAATTTTATAAATTTATAAATAGATAATTAAAGCAGTTGTTCTATAAGAAACTTAATAGAAAATTTAATATGATACTTAACCAAGAAGTTTAAAACAAAACCTTCTTGTAAAATAATATCTTTCTTTCCTCTTTTTGTTCTTTTTTTAAAAGAATATAATTGCTTAAAAATACATGTTGTTTCAACGTAATGCTTTCTTTTTTTCTTTTGTTCGAAAATTATATGATTAATGATACACATGTGTATGTCATTTATACACATTGGAATAATTATTCAGTTGACATACATGAATGACAAATGTTTTAAAGCGCTCTGTATATACATCTCGCGAATACAATTAAGTCATTCATGTACATGTATGGAGGCCAAATATGTACTTTCTTATAAATTCCTGAAAAAAAATGGAAAAAAGTTAAAGTTTCAAATTATATGGCTTACTTTGCGATGTATAGAGACAAAGTTGATCTGAGTAAACTTCAGAAATATGATACTTCTTGAAAATGAAATCGGCAAAAGTTCCTAATTTCTTTATCTTTGGGAAAAGAAGTGGTCGCATTTCTGTGTGGACAATAACACATCCTTCCGATATCCCAAGGATCACAATGTCATCAAAATTAGCATCAATTAAATTCATTAAATTTCTTTTTAGTGCAGGTATCCTCCCTTCTGGAATTTTATGCACATCTTCTTTTGGTAATTTAAGAGAAACTTTTTTGTAACCTAGAAAACAGTCACCTTTTTACACGTTTGAAAACATGATATACAAATTTCCTCTTTTTTTTTACACACACACACACACACACACACACACACACACACACACACACACAGCCGTAAACATGACATAAGCATTCTCAATGACGTCAAAACGGTGGCATTTTGCTTACACAAATTAAAAATGTCCTTCTGAATTTAATACTGAATGTCATACCTAAGGTTTTTTTTGTGAAAAAGAGATAACTTTTGTAGTCTTAGTGGAACTATTAAATAAAGCAGGTATGTATTCTTTCGGGATCAGATGTTAACTTGTTTTGTTCATATTTTTGACGGACTGTAGATTTCTTGTTAATCGTATCGAAATATTTATTTTCTTTAAGATATTTTTGTCAGGAGACTGAATTGCACACAATGTAATAGTACAATTCTCTGTCAACCTTGGACTTTCAGTAAGGCGTGGCATTCTCGACGCTACATAATTAACGTCTCTCAAATGGTGACCTAGATTCTCATAGGTTGCTAGGTCATCAATATTCATAACAACACAAAGAAGTTGAATAATGTTAGTTCGAATTATTTGATATACAAGAAGAGAAAATAAAACACGAAATTGTGGAGTGTTGATCATTTTTTTTTCCGCGTGTTGTTTAGTTCACAAACATAAGCATGAGTCAGAGTTTATATTTTAATGACATTTTTAATTTTTTTTTACCGGCAATTGTTTTTTTTTTTCCCGGTGGCAAATGGCAATAAACAGTTCCTCGCCAGGGAACACTTACGCTTAAAACATTAGAATACTGCAAAGCAGGTGAAAACTTGAAGTTCAACAGATACTCTCTAATACTTAAGTTGCATAAAAGTCAGGCCGGTACGTAGGACCGATTTTTTAAAATAAAGAGGGGAGCTTTAAAATAAGAGAGAGAGAGAGAGAGAAACTACAAAAACTGCCCCAAGTTCAGCTACTTAATTTAGTATCTATTAAGAGGGGATCTATAAACACCAACACTATATGTAATACCCTCGAAGTTAACATTTCAATATTTCTACAGTAAAAATATTACGAAGTTGAATTTTTTATGATTTTTCAAGAGGGGCCACCGTCGTGTAGATCTACATGATGATTTCCAATGAACGACTTTCTATAATACTGCATACACATGCATAAACACCCCTATCCTCATTTTACACCATTTTAACTATAAGGCTAGAGTGTGGTCTGATCGTCATTTTTCAAAATTGATTTGAAATTCGGTCAAAGACCAAAAGTCGTTATGTGTCAAAATTGGCCCTGTGAAAATGTGGAAAAAATAAAGTAAAGCGATATATAATTTCATGGTCTATTTCATAAGTCCAGTACACTATAACTTTAAAGGTTTTGTATAAGTTTGGCAGAAAGCGCGTGCGTTTTAGTAACATTAGTCAAAACCATGGAAGTATTCCAGAAATCTACGATTTTTTGGATATTTAGTGTATTCACGCATTTTTGTATGTGTCCGCATCTGAGTATGTATCCCAGACTTTTACAAATACATCATTATATTATAAATCATTAAATTAAACGCTTAATTTTCACCTTACAAAGATGCGGACATGAAGAATTTTAATAATTTGCGTTCTGCAAATAACATTAAATCTTGGCTATCAGCAACTTTTTTCTTCATTTCACAGATTTATTATAATCTTTTTACAAGTTAATCTGTATTAAACTTCATTCTAACGACTAGAAACACTTACAACTACTGTAATTGTTTATAAAATAAATGTTTATAGACCTCTGTATTTTAATAAGTTTACCCAGGTAACGGTTTTATCTGACCACGGCATTTCATAAATTAATTATAATGTAAATAAATGACAAATGTTGAATAAATCCCAAATAATCGCCCTGAGCTTACTGTAAACATATATTTCTTGAATTTTTTTTATTTCTTTTATAGTCAATATCAAAAAACGCCAAAGAGTTTAAATATTGCCAAAAGCGATCTCAATGTCATTAACGTTTGCTTATAACAGTGTATTGATGACGTATTACATTTACAAAATGACGTCACATTATACCTAGAATCAACAACTTATTGTTGCTATAACTGTGATCAATTGATGTACTGAACAAATTTATAAGAGAGAGAGAGAAATAACGTCTGATAAGTTTTTTTTTTTTTTTTTTTTTTTTTTTTTTTTTTTGCGGGGGGGGGGGGTGTCATGGAATTTTTATAATTGATAGTGACCCCCCCCCCCCCCTTTCTGAAAATGTATTATTGTGCCGCTAAGATTTAAACCCTCAATCCCAATTTTCATTATCATTGACACAATGTTTATTATGTTTTAATGTTTACTATGTTTAAACTACCAGTTTATCCCTTTTAATAACTTAAACATTTTACAAAGCATAAAATTAAATGTTAAGGCAAATACACGAATGATAAACAAATATTGAACGCAGGCATTTCATACAGTTTCTTTCATACACTTTCTGCGTTAAAAAAAAAAAAAAAAAAAAAAAAAAAAAAAAAAAAAAAAAAAAAAAAAAAAAAAAAAAAACTGAAACAGACATGAAAGTAAAGATGTGTTTTAACAGCGATAAATTTTGTGTTTGCTGTTTACTCTATTTACTGTGGTTTTATTTCTCATGATTTGCGGTACAAATGTAAGGCATGGGCTTGCGTGCGCTTGCGTAAGACAGATCGACCATTTCAATGAAATTTTTTTTTTTCAATAGTATCACTTATTAAATGTTTTTATCATGTATGTTCCATTTAAGATCTTTTACAAATATATTTTTTAAATATAGAATATAATAAATTATATTAATTCAGTTTTTATTTTTTCATATCAGTACAAGCAATTTCATAAAGATTCGTTATAAAAATTTCAGAAAAAAAAAAAAAACTGTTATGTTTGATTGAAATAAACATATTAGTTCATAATTGATATACCTTTTGCGTGAATATAGATTTAGTAAGAACTGATAGTATCAGTTTCGGATCCAGGATTTTCCATTAGAGGAGGTGCTATGAGATGACAGGTACTCTGAATACCTACCAGCTAGATAGAAAAAGTGTCCTGTGGGGGGATGAATCCCCCGTAAGCTCCAAAGATGCCTTATTTTGACTCTAAAATGGTTGTTATTTTACTTCATTTCATCAATGACAGTAAAGTATGACTAAATTATTTTTCCTTCTTTTTTTTGGAGGGGGAGGTGGGGTGGAGCGACGATTTAGAGCTACAATTCATTACAAATTCAAAAATCGCAGTTCATCGTTAAGGTAGTCGTAGGAGACTAGTATCTTCATTTTTCGTGTTTAAACACACCAAAGCGCACCACACTGTATCTATTACCCTGAACAACCAACTTAAATATAATGTTAAATTATTTCAAAAATCTCTCAAAGTCTATATATTCTATATTAATTCCATAACATGTACGTTCGTATGAAATCGTCATTAGTCGTCGGGATATCGTGTATATGTATTAAGTCATATCGTAGTCATTCGTACGAGTATCGAATGTAATCCTTCATAATCGTAGAAATATTGTAACCAGATGTGATTGTCTCTGATTTTCTGTTACTGACCATGAGTCTCCGTAGACCTCTACTACGTGAAACTGTAATCTTTATCAAACTGTTATTTTAGGAATGACTCTAATTCTTGGCCATATTATTCGAGTATAACCTGGTTTGGGTCAGTTTACGCTGTTTTATAATCCGCTCCGCTTCGCGGATTATAAAACAGCGTAAACTGACCCAAACCAGGTTATACTCGAATAATATGGCCAAGAATTAGAGTCATTCCTTGTAATTTAATTTTAAAATCATTAAATAACTATGGGTGTAAAATTTCGTTGCTTTTTATTAGTTCAAATTTGCCGCTCAATAATACAACCATAGTAACGGAAGTAACGGAAGTGATGGGAAGCGAGGGGAGGTAAAAACTGATACATAGGCCTAGCAGCCTTTTTGTTTGTTTACATGTGGTAAGATCGAATTATTGTTTGAAGTTAAAGGTACATTTATTAAATATGGAATTTTCCATGAATCCCGAGGACAGGATTGTATGGATACAGATGATTCAGCTGGTTGTCAGGGGTGTGTGTCCCCATACCAAACCAGGTTATACGGAAATAATTTGTGTTCCTTTTTGGATATTAACCAATCGGAGGTTAGAATACAAATAGAATTAAATTATTTTATTTCATTTTGTTTAGTTAAAATTATTTTGTGTAATTTCTGCATATGTATATACAATCTCTATTGTTGTTGTTATTGTAATAAAAAAAATTATTTCAAGGGAATAAACCCTTGACAGTTTTCTCTTTAAAGTACTTTTTTGGTATTTATTCCATTAACGTTTAAGCATACATATCGTAACAAAAAAAAAAAATCAAATTCATGACATTAAAACTACAGAAAGTATATTATGTTATTTGGTTAATGTAAAAAAAAAAAAAAAAAAAAAAAAAAAAAAAAAAAAAAAAATTACGTTATTTGAAAAACTTTTCATATCAGAATATTAACAGATTTAAACGTAGAAAATTTTAGAGTTGTCTATAGCAAATATTGCTATCGTAAAAATTACATCGCGACGTCATGCCCTAAAGCACGACTGAAAAATCATGCCATGATGAAAATAATGGCAACTGATGAAAAACTAAAAGAGGTTTCGGAGAGATTTAAACTGTTTTAGGAAATATGCATTGTAGACATCCTGTGAAAAATCCTGATCATATTCAATAACAGAGCCGATTATGACCCATAACTACTCTTCCTCTTACAGAGCACAACAAACTGAAATTTACACAGCTTTTTATTCACTTCTGAAATATACATAGGATAGAAATTCGGGAAAAACGTGAACGGGTGTAGCAAGGAACCAATGGCGGCGTTTCGTACGTTGTCAACAACAATTTAAAGTTGCTGATGATATTAATTTCTTAACCAATGAGAATCAAGGTCACCATTTGAGAGACGTTAATTATGTAGCGTCGAGAATGCCACGCCTTACTGAAAGTCCAAGGATAACAGAGAATTGTACTAATTCTTTGGTTGCCAGAAAGACACCGAGTAATGGGGATCGATGTAGGGAGACACTTTTTTTTCTGAAACTTGCAATTTCAGTGAAGAAAACATAAAAAAATTACACACCACAAAAAGTTTCTTATTCACCTATATATTTTTTTCAGAGTTCATATTTCATTTTACATTTTGTAAATTTTCCTAAAGTGTTGTAACCTAATCAACCCGATATTATTACAGATTGTAGTGCCCCCGATGGCGCATACAAGAAATGCATTTGTAAATTTATCGAAAGTTTCCCTTATTATACATGTATTTTAACCAAAGCTGAAAGTTGGACTCAGTCTCACATAGCAAAATCGAGTTTTCCTATAGATTGATGCCTTTTTGCTATGACTTGCTATGACTTTCATATTTCACAGGTATATTACTTGCGACAAGACATTCCTCTGGGTACCACCAAATTTGGCCTCTTGACCTTAACCTTGGAGTTTGACCCACTTTTACAAAAACAAAAAAAAAACAAAAAAAAAAACAAACAAACAAACAAACAAACAAACACACAAACAAACAAACAAACTAACTTTAACCTTGGCCCTCACTTTTGAACAGTTGGAGCTAGGACTTTCATCCTTCACATGTGTATTCATTGTGACAGGACCTTTCAATTTGTATAAATATGTTTGACCTTGAGCTTAGAGTTTGACACACTTCGTAAAAAACTTTAACCATGGCCATAACTTTTGAACATTAAGTACTTGGGCTTTCATATTTCACAGGTGTATTCCTTGTGAAAAGACCTTTCTCTTGATACCAACAATTTTGACCTTTTGACCTTGACCTTGGAGTTTGACTTGCATCTGAGAAACTTCAACCTTCGCCATATATACGGGGGCATCAGTGTTTCACAAACACATCTTGTTTTATACTGTACATAAATGTCCATGGTTTTCCAAACAATCTACTATTTTTTCGATACATTCGTTTCGGTTTCATAAACTTCATTTATTTTGTTTAGAATGGCAACCTGAATTTCTTCCGTTTTCCGTCCTTGCTATTTTGTCTATCTTACTGAACACATTTTAGAAACGATCAGACAACATTTTACACCATGACGCACCAGAAATTAGTGACATTTGTTGTGACCAAATTTTTGAAACTTATATCTGTTCTAGGTATAGCACAATCGAAAATAGCTATGTAAAACTTTACGGTCATTTGCTTATTTTGATGTCAGTAACGAAAACTTATGTCCATTGACTTTACATACAGATACACGCGCACAGGCACACATATGCAGTGGCATGAGAGCACATATAGTAGATCGTCTGTTTAAAATATTTCTTCTATTTCCAAGCTTTTTAAAATAGTTGTGCAAATCATATTAAGAAATATTTTTATTTGGACGATTTTCGCTCTGTTATGTTTTTTTTGTTTGTTTGTTGTTTAACGCCCCTCTCGAAAATTTTTCACTTATATGAAGACGCTACCACTTGCAGGTGAAGAGCTGCAAATTTTGATCTATGCTCGGCACTTAGAGCCATTGAACAGTGAGGGATCTTTTTCGTGCAACCACCTACTGCGACACGGGTTCTCGTTTTATACGGTCTCAACCGAAGGACCGGTCTCCACGTCTCATAGTGGGATTCGAACCCGCGACGTAAGGAGGATCATCTCCTTACTCCGCGACTCTAGAGCAGACGCTCTAACCACTGCGCCACGTAGGCGACCGCTCTGTTGTGCCTGTAGGATTTAATTATTTACTGAATAAATCCAATGTGAATTGAACATTGTGATAAAATTTGTAAAAAAAAAAAAATTCATTAAATGAAGCAAGAAAAGTATATCTTTTGCTTATTAAAATAAAAAAAATGGGATAAGTAGGAGTAAGAGACATTTCGAATTTAAGAGAGAGAGAGAGAGAGAGAGAATAATTACCTTCTAAAGTTTCTCTTTTTTTATAATATTTATTGATATACGTGTTCGTTTTTCTCTCAACAAATTCAATACATTTCTCAACAAGGCCATCTTCATCGATCCTTTCCAAAAATCCTTGTAGAATGTAAATATTCATAGAGAAATCGTATAAGTGATCCATGAACTTCAATAATTCTACCCCATCATTTATCTTTGTCAGCGTCTTATATCGTCTACTACTTTTTGTCTTCAAGTTGCCTAGAAGACAAAATAAATATAAAGATAATAACGCCTTATACTAGGAAAACACGTCTTCTTTTTCACACATATCGGCATGATCTTTTCAAAATTGTTTGTATGACTTTTTTCTCTATATGAAATCTATAAATTGTCAGTTTTCAAAGGAAGTTGTCAAAAAATATTGTTGATAATGTTTAGGACTATAAGTGATCAACCAATAAAAACCAAATTTTTCATGACTATCATTTATTTAATATTACATTAAATTATGATAGCTGAAATTAAAAAAAAAAAATCTTTAATTGTCTTTTGATTTATGAAATTTATGAGAAGGTTGATTTCGGTGCACGCTCAAAATCCGAGATGTACATGTACGAGGGTTTATCCAAAAGTAATGTCACAACTGATTTAAAATTTTTCAAAGTCGAAATTTTTAGGCAAAATTTAACATACTAATCCCCCGACCTATTTTTAATTTTGCGTTATAATTTCAATTTGATCTTGGAAATACTTTTCAAAGTATTAAAATAAACACAACATAGGTTTTGTACTTCGCCAGAGGGCAAAAACTATACCGCCGTTATGGCTTTTTTAAAAACTTATTTTCAGTTAATTTGCACATCTTATATAAACGCCTCATGTGCTTTTCTTAATATACCTTTCTATTTTTTTTTTCTTTTTTGAAAAATATTAATCAACACGTTACATGAAATTATTTTATTTGTATATTTCTTTGATGAACGTCCCTTCGAGAAATTTTCACTTTCGAGGAGAGGGCTGCAAATTTAGATCTGTATTCGACACTTGTGGTGTTTGAGCAATGAGGAATCTTTTTTGTGCCAACACCACCTGCAACAATGAACCTCGGTTTATACTGACCTATTCGGTCATGAGGAGATTAGACTGATCAGACGTGCGTCCGGATTCTTTTTAAATTAATAAGTTTTTAACATCAAAATTAAAGACATTAGTGTAAAAATGTACACGCAAGTAAAAAGAGCTTAGTAGTGTACATGCAGTTGTAGTTTGAAATATAATTCTTTTGTTTCTTCATTAATTTTGCATTTTTTTAAAATTTCATTCATATTATTTATTTTTGTCATGACATACATTTTTAAAAATCATTACGAAACTACAACATATCCCCCCCCCCATGCATATAATTGGTAAAAAGTAAATCCACTCGAAAATATTAGATGAGTGAAGTATTTAATGTTTGCTGAAACATATACATGTTACATAAATTTCTTTTTAATTTGGACTTCTTTAGTAAGAACAAAATAATATATTTTCAACAAGGTGAAATTTCTTCTTCTTTTCAAAAATGTTTTAAGATATGTACAATTAGTTAATATAGTTTACATTAATATAACTTACCCTGAAGTGCAAACTTAAGTCTCCTTACATTATCTGGCGTTAGCTTCAGTCCAGTTGTAAATAAAAAATCATCAAGTTTTACGCGATACAAGTCGGGAATCTCACCATTTTCTATAATTAAATAAAATGACTAAAATACATTTTTTTTTTAAACTTTCAAATATATTTTCCCTGGAATTGTTTAAACATTGGATTACAAAACTGGCGTTCATTGTGTTCATAACACGGACTGCAATGTTGGCAAATTGTTCACACACGCTATGAATATTTGTAAGCACAGCTGTCCGTGTAAGAACACGATAGACGTCTTAAATAACAATGCACTTACATTCATTTATTATATGAAAGATTTATTGAATATGGCTTCATTCTATACATCATAATTGACAATGGAGGCAAATGAATAGTAAACTAGAGCCGAGCTCTTTGCAAAGCAACGAATAGGTCTTCCGTTGGAGCTGCGGAAGGAAGAAGTGACCTTGAGTCAAGGTCATGCCACATTCTAAAGTTATACATGTAAGAAATCTTGTGAGAGGAAGCAACTTACAATGTTTCGCTAGGAAAAAAAAAAAACTGTAAAGGAATGTACGTGACCTTGAACATTCCAAATAAACTTGCATGTTTTTCTTAATGACCTTGAACTTGAGTCAAGGCCATGTCACACTCTGCATGATTCCAGCAATGTTTCACTAGTAGAAATACGGTTGCGAAGTTACAGTTTCTCTGTCAGTGACCTTGAATCGTCCAAATGACCTTGCATCAAGGCCATAACACACACTGGATAAGAGCAAATCACAATCTGTGGGTTTCTGACTGGATAGGTTCAGCCATGTTTTTTTTTCAGACCATACTTCGGGTCGGAATAATTTGTTAGGTTCAACATAATGATTTATTATACCTCCATTTAGAATACTCAGATTCGTTTGGCTTGTTAGAAGGCTTTTAAACTCAATAATGACTCCAAAAAGTACCGTTTACAGCAATAATGACCTAGGAATCTTTGTACGTGGGGTATAATGACCAGTCAATAAAAATAATGACCGCTAAAAATGACCTGTTAATCCAAATTCCATTCAAATTAAAAAAAAAATATGCATAAAGTAACGATTGTACATTACAAAAAATGCCGTTATAAAAATATGTTTGGCATTTTTAGGATATGGAATACGATTGGCCTTTAGATGCGTCATAACATTTATCGTTTTCATTGAAACTTTCGTTACCATGTCAAATTCAACGAATGCAGACTCGGCTATCTTGTACAGTAAACGTCTGCACCGGATTGTCATTGTACTTGGGAATGGTATATGTGGATTGATAAAAATGCATGTTACTGACACTCACAGAGTGTTTTAATAAATCGGCGGGACTTGCAGGGGAAAAGTAAACAACTTCACTAGCGAATCCTGATCCCGATGGAATACTGATAATAACAATCCGTAGGTCTAATACACAATTGATTATTTTAGTAATAAAGTCTACAAAAATTGCCTTAACTTATATCGGTATAATAAAACAAATTATTACCCCTTATGAGTTCAATATGGTGGAAAAAGGACCCTTGACCTGGACCACTCGCTCGTGGACAGGTCTAGAAATATGCCCATAGGTCACGAATGGCCCGCTCAGGATATATTAGTAATGCAACATGAAAATTTGTATTAGTGTATGAAATTTGATGAGAATATCTTGAATAGTTTCTTTGAAATTGAAATCTAAAAAGTTGGATACAGATGATAAATTCTCACCAAATTATGTATAAGTACATAAGCTTACATAAATACATCTTAAGTGGTTTCTTTAAAACTAAGCAAAGTGCAAATTTAAGAAAAGTGAGGACAAGGTCACAGGAATGTTCAAGGTCAAACATTTCTGATGCAGTTGAATAGTTCTCACTTATACATAACAGCATATTAAGTTTGATAAGAATATTTAGAATGGTTTATTTAAAACTGAGTAAAACACAAATTGATGAAAGTGAGGTCAAGGTCAAATGAAAGGTCAAGGTAAAATATGTTGATGCAATTGAATAGCTTTCATCAGTATGTATCAGCATATGAAATGTGACACTAATTTAAGAAAAGTAAGGTCATGGTCAAAGGAAAGGTCAAGGTTAAAAATGTTGATGCAGTTTAATGGCTTTTATCAGTATGTATCAGCATACGAAATTTGATAAAAATATCTTGAATAGTTTTTTTTGAAACTTAGCTAAACACTAATTCAAGAAAAGTAAGGTCAAGGTCAAAGGAAAGATCAAGGTTAAAAATGTTGATGCAGTTTAATGGCTTTTATCAGTATGTATCAGCATATGAAATTTGATAAAAATATCTTGAATAGTTTTTTTGAAACTTAGCTAAACACTAATTCAAAAAAAGTAAGGTCAAGGTCAAAGGAAAGGTCAAGGTAAAAAAATGTTGATGCAGTTGCATAGCTCTCATCAATATCTATCAGCATATGAAGTTTGAAGAAAATATCTTGGATAGTTTCTTTGAAACTGAGCTTTGAACTGAGTTAAACGCAAAGCGCGACGGCATGACAGACGGAAGGATGGAAGGACGGAAGACGGACATGACAAACACTATATGCCCCGGCCATTTTCATGGGGGGCATAAAAATTCATTGAGAATGTTTCATGTCCAGTTTGGATAAGTTGTAAAACGTAGAGATCGGTCGTTTAGATGAGACCGTATAAACTAACGTCTCGTGTCGCGGTAAGTGTTAGCATGAAAGGGATCTGTCATGTTATAAATTTTGATTTACCGAGTGGCAGCAAATACAAAATTTACATGTCAGATGTAAATTTTGTATTTACTGCCAACTGGTAAGTTCAAAATTAACAACATGACAATTCCATGGCACTTGATTCGACCTCTGATTTTTAAAGGTTCGTGTTTGCGCTGCTCCTGATTTGTATTGTTTGAATGGTCTTTTAAGCTCGAATGCTGATCATTTTTCCCTATATTTCATCCCTTATTGCTCAAAGGCCGTAAGTACCATGTACATTGTACATGTATAAATTTTCAGCCATTCATCATTTATATCTTATTAAAATTTTAATTCCATCTATTTTTTTAACATTAAATTGCTGGAGATATAGTAAAAAGATCCGGAATGAAAATAATAAATGTTAGAAATGAAATTATTAATTGTTGGAAGTGCAATGCAAAATTCCGGAAATCAAATGCACCAAAAATGGTACCTTCCCCCACCCAAAGACAATAATAGTACACACTTCGACGCTCAATTGACCACTCCAGTGAACACATAATATCGTTACATTTTTTAAATTTTAGAAATTAAATGAAAGACCTTAAAAAAGTTTATAAAATAGGAAAGCTTAGTCAGGGATATTAATCGTGGCAGACCTTGTTTTCCGATTCGCGAATAACAAATGTCGTGTAAGATTATTGGTTTATATTAAAATAGGTTGTGGATTTCTCTCGAAATTCAACACAAGCCCTCATCTACATGTATACGTACCTGAACAAACCAACCGATTGACATTCTCGGCTCTGAAGGAAAACATCATATTCATTTAAGGGGGGGGGGGGTGGACGTATAGTGATGAGAGGAAATTTGATCACCTGTCAGTCCATTAAACATGAAAGATTATTTTGGAATATTTGTATACAACTGCGTGGCTTTCTTAGAACCAAGTTAGAATTTGTTAAAAAAATTAAATAATTATTTAGCTGTTTAAGGACATTGGCAAGTCAAGGTTTTCCGGAGAAAAAAGGTTTAATACATGTTTTGTTCACTTGAAAATAGCGATTGAGAGTGATCCTCCGTCACAGCATTCTCTAAGCTGTGAAAATCAATAAAGCGTTTGTTACAGAGGTAAACAAAAGCACGTGTAATTTCTTCAATGGGTAGAATCATCTATACAGCAAGAAAGAAAAGTAGTAATGGATTTGTTGTACATTGTATTCAGCGGACAAAGAGCCAACATGTCGTTATTTACCAGAGTTATGTTCAGTATGCTGGGAAGTGCAAAGGTGTGACATGCTGAAAGGTAGACCGACTGAGAACAGCTCTTAGGTTGTGTGAAGGAAGTCATAGGAAATGAAGATACAATAATGTATATAACACAAAAACTATATGAAATAAGAGGGTTTTGGAGAAATTTTATGGTGAACAAGATGTGTTTGTAAAACACTGATGCCCCCGTATGGCAACTCATATCAAAGGCTAAACTTTCCCAAACACAAATCAAATGTGTTCGTACCCGAAGTAAAGTCTTGTCTCGAGGGATATACCTTTGAAATATGAAAACCCTACCAGCAACCATTGAATAGATATGGAAAAGGTTAAAGTTTTTCAAAAGTAAGTAAAACATCAAGTTCAAATGGTCAAAATTAATAATGCCCATGGAAAAGTCTTCTAACAAGAAATACACATGTGAAATATGAAAGCCCTGGCACCAACCGTTCAAAAGTTATGACCAAAGTTAAAATATTTCAAAAGTAGGTCAAACTCCAAGGTGAAAATGTCAAAGTTGTTTGTATCCAAAAGAAGGTCTTGTCACAACAATTACATATGTGTATATGTGAAGTATGAAAGCCGAAGCACCAACCATTCAAAAGTTATGGCCAAGGTTAAAGTTTTGGAGAAGTAGGTCAAACTCCAAGGTCAGGGTCAAAGGGTCAAAGTTGTTGGTATCCAAAGGAAGGTCTTGTTACAAGAATAACATATTTGAAGCATGAAAGCCTTAGCACCAAACATTCAAAAGTTATTGCCAAGGTTAAAGTTTTGCAAAAGTAAGTCAAACTCCAAGGTCAAAGTTAAAAGGTCAAAGTTGTTGGTATGCAAAGTAAGACCTTGTCACAAGGATTACATGTGTGAAGGATGAAAGGCCTAGTGCTAACATGTCAAAAGTTATGGCCAAGATTAAAGTTTTTCAAAAAGGGTCAAACTCCAAGGTCATGGTCAAAGTGTCAAAGATTTGGTATCCAAAAAAGGTCTTGTCACGAGGTATACACATGTGAAATATGAAAGCCATGACATCAACGCTTTAAAAGTTATGGCCAAAGTTAACGTTTTTTTTTCCAAAAGTAGGTCAAACTCCAAGGTCAAAGGGTCAAAGTTGCTGGTGTCTGAAGGAAGGTCTTGTCCTAAGGTATACACCTGTGAAGTTTGAAAGCCCAACTATTCAAACATTATGGCCAAAGTTAAAGTCTGAAAAAAATATTGCAAATGTGGGTCAAACTCCAATGTCGAGGTCAAAAGGTCAAATTTATACACATGTGAAATAAGAAAGCCACAGCTCCAACCAATCAATAGTTATGGGCAAGGTTAAAGTTTTTGCGGACAAACAGAGACAGACAGACAGACAGACAGACGGATACAATGTAGATAGACAGACAGATAGATAGACAGACAGACAGAAAGACAGACTTCGATTACAGGGGCATAAAAATTATGTAGGTCTCTTTTATCAACATTATACATACAAAATGCATTGAGAATTGTAAAAACAGTGATTTGACAATCTCTAAAAAAGAAGGTAGGCTTGGTAGATTAAACGATCCATAATATAGCTTGTTTAGTACATTTAAACCTACTCAAAAGTTCTTGAAAAATACTATACGATAACCAGGAACCTTGCCAGTGTCCTTAAGATTTGTTACATATTTGTAAGAACCGCTTTATTTACAAAACAAAGTTTCACCCTTTTATGGACGCCGTGATATATTTGATAGGCTGTTTAATTACTATTCGGATATATTGGCATTCAAAGGACTTACACATTTTTTTTTAATATTACCAAAGGTCCTGGTCTAAAACAAATTGAAATTGACAAACCCAGACCACGCGGTTTTATTTAGAACATGCACTTAAGTCTGAAAACGTTCGTTCATTGAAGTTAATTTAGATAAAATGTCTGACAATTTTCAACCTCGTTTGCTATAATTTACCGAATCGGATCTTTTTCCGTATAGTTGAAATGCATGGACGAAGGATAAAAAAACCGTATGCTGATCATTCAAAACAGATCATTAAGATTGTGTATTTAATTTATGGATACATGTTTTTCCCCCTGTTTTTCCTTTTCTGTGAATTTCCCGTTTCCTTTGTACACAAGCATGTGTTCATATCTCTGTTCATACGTGCTATCAATGTGATCGGAGAGAACAAGACATCCCCCAGCAATTTATTTCTATTTATTAAAACACTAAATGAAAACTATTTATGTGAAAATAAATCTACTAATGTCTAATTGTGAGATCAACAACCGTAACAATGCCTGACCAGAAGGACTTTAATATTACCGTTATTAAACTACTCCTTAAGAACTAGAGTAAAGCTCGTTGCAAAGCAACGAGTAGGTCTTCCGTCCTGTTTTGACCGGAAGTGACGTTAACAAAAAAAAAAAAAAAATGAGTTAAGACGACTCCGGTGACTTTAAAATTTCAATTTTGTATCAAAACGTGCAAAATAAGATATTTCTGGCTACTGTTTGACCGGAAATGATGTGGAGGGATGAAAATTTTGGTTGGACGCTTCTGGTTACATAAATTAACCAATAACATGTCGGAAACGGCAAAGCTATGCATTTTCTGACTACTTCTGTTTTGGTCGGAAGTGACGCCATTTTACGACCTATGACAAACTTACTCGCTTGTACTTGTCATTTTGAAGAATTTTGCTTCTTTGATGCATCACAAATTCTCAATTGTTTTTTAGATATTAAGAAAATACTTTCAGCCCCTGTAGATCCCTTCTTTTAGGGGCCAGCCCCTTTTTGTCGATATCAAATGGAAGAGCTTGTCATTTTGCACAATTTTTATCCTATATGTTTTAACAAAATATTTACAAGGAAAAAGATATTCCTGAATAAATGCTAAAACATTTGATATTCTCAATATGACTATTTTCGGAGCATACCGATCGTCCACGTGCGGCACTTCCGGGAAAAATGAACTACTTAGTACATATCTATGAATATTGCTCTATCATCGCTGAAAATATCAAGTTCCTCTTTGGGAAATTTTCTACGTTGCCATTGATTTTTTTCAAGGGGAGGGGGGAGAATAATTTATTTATTCCTAACATTTTTTAAAGTAAGAGCTGTAGCAACCTCCATGGACTTGAGCTTGATTGTGACCTTTGGGTCAAAGGTCAACATCAAAGCTCAAGGTCATTTAAAAAACCTTTGCTTTAAACTGAGTTCAACACTGAAATGTACATGAATTAAGATGCATGTTCTGATTTTTTTTTTACCCTTGAGTCAATGTCAATGTCAAGGTTAAAGGTAAAGGTCAAAGTTCAGGCTCAAAGGTCAAGGTCATTTAGATAAATAGCTTATATCAACAATCTATATAGTTTTTCAATGACCTTGACCTTTGTCCTTGACCTGAATTTTAAGGTCAAGTTCAAGATGTCTAATGCAGTTGGCGCAATGTCTTTACGAATTGTCGTTTAGAAAATTTTAATAATTCATAAACATCAAAAGTTTTCAAGGGCAAAAACTACTCAAAGAGGTTTACGAATCCTTTCGCACTTAATAGATTGAAGAGTCTACTAAATTAGTTGAAGGCATTAGTGAAGGTTTTATATTTCTACGGTTTATGGTTTTGGAGGAGTAGCGATAACAAGGTTTTTTCACACAAAGGGGCAATATTTTCTAAAGAGGTCAATCTTAGGGGACAAGAATGAAATCTTTAAACTCATTTTAAGAGGACGTATTGAAGATGCAAAGATATACAGTATATGTTGAAAGACAAAAGAGCTATAAAAACAGATAAATTTCCAATATTTTGAATGTCCTTGACTTTTGACCTTGATCACAAAATCTAATGCAGTTGGTCCTATGTCTTTACGACTTGTCGTTTAGAAAATTGTTCATTATTTGTAAACATCAAAAACTCTCAGGGGCAATGACTTATTAAAGGGCTCGACAAATCATTTCGCAATGAAAAGTTTGAAAAGTCTTCTAAAGTAGTCGAAAGCAATGGTGAAGGTTCTGTATCTCTATGATTTATGGTTTCGGAGGAGTAGCGATAACAAGCTATTCTTGTGAAAGGGGCAATAACTTCCTAAGAGGTCATAGGTCAAACACGGGGGGTCGTTTATCGAAAAAAACTTTTAATATCCAGTATCATGAACTATAAAGTTTTTCGATAAGTCTTGCGGTTTCAAAAATCCGGGTAAGAAATAAAATAATAATAAACATAAGCATTTCAAGGGGTCTTTCCACAGAAAGGTGAAAAGACCTCAAAATTTGGAAAAGAAACCTAAGAATAACAATAAGGTCTTCTGCTGAAGACGGAAGATCTTAAAAATAAGAATAATCTTAACCCTCAGAATCAGTAGAAGGCCTTCCGTTGGAACGAAAGACCTTAAATAGGATTTATTTTGTTCTTTGCAAACAATCCACTGTCTTAGGGCTGCTGAATGATAAATGATTAGCCGTAAATTCCATATAGCTAAATTCATAGACCACCTGTTATTGTTCAATCAGCGTGATTTTTTTTCCCGTTCATAACATTTCACTTGTCATACACGTCAATCGGTAATACATCGTTTGTG